TTGTTTAACTTTACAAATATTTTGTAATTTAAAGATTCTAAGAAAAAAATCGCTGGTGGTAAATTTGAACCACGACTATTACGTTCAGAAGCTCAGCTCGCTAACCATTCGGCCATGCTGACACATCAAATATCGAAATTTTAAAAATATATAAAAATTGTTTTAAACGGAATTGCTGTAGATCAAAAATTAAGAAGAGGTTGACGCAATGCAATTTTTAAGTCAAAGTCAAACTATAAAACTTGAAAAATGTTTCAGTATGTTTTATCATTACTTAATTACGTACGTTAGATATTTGTATACACGTTTTCTTATAAAAAAAGTGTTGCGACTCTTTCTACTAACACTATTAAGTTCGGCATTATTATATAGAAGATAGATAGATTATAAAATAGTTTTTCACCTAAAAGGACAAACTCTATTCCACATTAACCTTATCTCTATTTCTCCCTCTAATATTTTTAAGTGATCAATAGATTATGTGCTAGAAAAAAAAAAAAAAAATTCACATATGCACCTTTTCCGTATATTTATATTTAGAGCTTAACATGAAGAAGGTAAACCATTTAGTTCAAGACAACCTGCCCAAACCCAAATCCTCTGTTGATTTATGCACAGTCACTGTGGCTAGGCGTGTAAAATAAGTAGCTAGGCAAGTCAAATAAATTAACTTGATCTGTTTTTCTGCATAAAACAAAAACAGAAAATGTGAAGTACTTGAAAAGGAACTGTAATATTGGATTTAGTTAACTCAATACAAAGTGATAGGAAACTGCAAAATAAGGTAACAACGTGAAAATTATTGAAATACTAATTTACAACAATTTGTATTGCGTTTTATTAAAATAGCTTTATTAAATGGTATGAAGATTGATGATTCTTCTTCTTCGCTTTTAGAAAATGATTAACGATTTGAAAGACTTTTAAATTGATTATAAAAGCATTATCTAAAAACGAAATAAAATCATTATTGATAACACTGAATGCACATTTATTTGTTTTATGTTAATTCATTTGAAAAATAAAAAATACGAAACGAAATTTAGTAATATTAAAGAAATATTAAACACTTACTTTGTGAGAGTGCTTTTGGAAAAGTCTCTAATATTTGGTTAGAAGGCTGGAAATAATCTTTTTTTTAAAAAATTCAGTTTTATCAGCATTGCTAAAGATAAAAATTTTTATTGACACAAAAAAATTCGGCATTTTTTCTTAAAATATTTCTTGGCTTTTAGTGAATGATTAGGAGTAAGTTTCAGTAATGAAGCTACCCAATAATCATTTTTAACCATAGACATCAACGTGAAGGTAAGCCAAGCTGTCTATCAACACAAAACATCACAACAACATTATAGGATGACAAACAATAACACCAGTAGTGTTGGCAGGATTTTTGTTGTTTCAGATATATATTTAGAGGCTGTTGAAGAGTTTAACTTTGTTATGTCTAAAAAAATTCAGGTTAGGAAAAACACTTTTTTTAAACATTTGTTCCTAAGCTTTAACAACATCAATTTTTTGCAAAGTATTTTAATTCTATAAACGTGAATACACTTAAGTTTGGTTGAAAGTGCTATATAAAGCATCAAAAGACCCTGCCTATGCTACTGAATACACATAGCATAAATTATTTTTACATAACACATTTGCACATAACACAAAATATTCAGATTATGTGTTTCCAGAATAATTAAAAAAGCTAGACAACACAACCTAGCTCAACACTTGTAACACCGCTTGGCACTAAACGCTGCTAAGTAACACCACAATTTAGTAACACCGCTTGGCATTAAGTGCCAAGTAACACCACTAATTAGTAACACCGCTTGGCTAGCAAGAATCACAATCTTGCACTACACGTTGCCAAGTAACATCACTTTTCACATGGAAACAACATAATATAAACTTATATAAACTTAAGCACATAAATATAAATAAAGATATATAAACGCATATCTGATTAATTTTTTGCTATACTAATCTAAAATGAACAAAAACAATAAAGTGCTATTTATCAGTTTAAACCTATGAAACTATGTGTATAGCGTCTAATAAAATTTGTGAACAAAAATTATAACTAAACTGGTTTGAAACAGAGAAAAAGCCAGAAGTATCTTGTAATAACATACTATATTGTAAGTAATAAAACAGTGTTTTTAGAAACAAATAAAAAATTTTATTATTTTAAAAGTCATATTAATGGTTTTGTTAAAAAGCAAAATTAGTTACAAATTAATTTTAATAATACTAAACTAAAAATGACATGCCAACAATTGCAAACATGTTGCATCATATAGACCACATGTGGCTGACAACTGATTTTAAATACTATTTTATAATATATCTAAAGAGAATAATGTAAAGAGATTAATAGGTGTATAGTGCATATATTAGACATTAAACAGATATCATAGAAAAAGAAAAATTTTAAATATATTTACCAAATCTTTCAAAAACTATATAACACTTAACAAAAATAAGTTAATACAAAAGAAAATTTAGTATTATTAAAATTAAAAATGAAGATAAAAAGATGTAAAAACGTAAATTAATAAAAAAACTTATAGACAAATTATTAAAAACTTTTATAACATAAGAGTTCTTTTGTAAGTTTAGGATTTAAAAACAGAATTAAAAATCAAAAAAATAAAATAGTGAAAGTATAAAATTTAAAATAATAAAAAATTGCAAAATTAAAAAAAAACATTTTTTTAAAAAGTCAATTTTCTTTATAATTAAAGATGAAGATAATTCTACCAGTAGCTTAAAAAAGCTACTGGTAGAAATTAAAAGAGTTGAACCGCTTCCCAGCACCCCTCCTTCTACCAGTGGTGTCATATGGGGCTTGTCTCCTCCATCTAAAGGAGGGATCATCTCCCCCATATTGACACCACCGGTAGAAAGCTCTTTGAGATATCGGACCTGGGTGCTGGGAGCAATATCGCAGGAAATCTTGATGCGCTGCTAAAAAACAAAAACAAAAAAAGAAATAAATTTGAATGCAATACTGCACAAAACAACCAATAAAAATATTATTTAAAACTATTTAGACTTTAAAAAAAAAAAGTTATGACAAAAAAAAATAAAAAAAAAAGTAATGTAAAAATAAGGATATGTTTAAATTTCATATGTTTAAATTTATGCAATGTTTAAATTTCATATATACCTACACAAATACACATAACACCCATAAAACTGCATAAGCATGCAAAACAGATTACCTGATGGTCCTGCAGATATTGTTGCTATTAGAGAAATAAATAAAAAATATGAACTAACACATATATTAAACAGTTATGTAATTGCATACAAACATGAAAAAAGTAATGTTTAGGTTTCAATACACATAACACTGCATAAGTATGGAAAAACTACATAAGTATGGAAAACACATTACCTGGTGGTACTGCAGTTGATACTGTTGCTATTACGGAAATAAATAAAAAAGTATATAAACAAACACATATTAAACAGTTATGTAATTGCATACAAACACGAAAAAAGTATTGTTTAAGTTCCAATACACATAACACTCATAAAACTGCATAAGTATGCAAAACATATTACCTGATGGTACTGCAGATGATATTGATGCTATTGTGAAAGTAAAAAAAAAAAGTGTATAAAGTAACATATGTTATACATTTATGTAATTGATAACAAACATGAAAAAAGTAATGTTTAAGTTTTATTACACATAAAACCCATAAAACTGCATAAGTATGCTAAACAGATTACCTGATATTATTGCTTGAGGTGTTAATGTAAAGACAAAAAAAATAAAAAATAAAGTGATGTGCAAAATAAGATATGCAATCTTTAAATTTTAATACACATAACACTCATAAAACTGCATAAGTATGCAAAACATAATACCTGATGGTACTGCAGATGATATTGATGCTATTGTAAAGGTAAAAAAAAATGTATAAAGTAACATATGTTGTACATTTATGTAATTGATAACAAACATGAAAAAAGTAATGTTTAAGTTTTAATACACATAACACTCATAAAACTGCATAAGTATGCAAAACACATTACCTGATGGCACTGCAGATGATATTGATGCTATTGTAAAAGTAAAAAAAAAAGTGTATAAAGTAACATATGTTAAACATTTATGTAATTGCATAAAAACATGAAAAAAAAAAAAAAATTAAGTTTTAATACACATAAAACCCATAAAACTGCATAAGTATGCTAAACAGATTACCTGATATTATTGCTTGAGGTGTTAATGTAGAGACAAAAAAAATAATAAAGTAATCTGTAAATTAAGATATGCTATCTTTAAGTTTTAACACACATAACACTCTTAAAACTGCATAAGAATGCAAAACACATCACCAGATGGTACTGCAGATGACGCTATAGTGGATGTAAAAAATATATTTACATAAACTAACATATACTAATCAATTAAACAGTTTATTTTAAGTGATAAAACCGCACACAAACATCAAAAAAAGTGTAATAAAATTAAACAAAATGAAACATAAGTGAACTTTGCTTACCAATTGAATTTTCTAATTTTTCTAAATAGAATTAAAAAAAACTCATTAACATTAAAGTTGGAACAATACAAAAGCCAAAAATAACAATCACGAAACAAAACAAACCAAAAAAAAAAAAAAAAAAAAAAGTGCCAAAAAAAAAAGAAAAAATAAAAATAAAGAAGAACATTATAGTAATTTACTTAGCTGTTGAAGTATAAGCCCTATAAAAAAAATGCTAAAAATTGTATCAAAAAAGCTAAAAGACCAAAGAGTAGACCTTTTTTTTTTGAAAGTAAAATGCTATATCTTTATCTATAATACACAAATGAAATATAATCAAATTCTGTTTACCCATTGAATGTTCTACTTTTTCTAAATAAAATGAAAAACTTATAAACATAAAAATAAACTAACTTGCCATATATAGAATAACTTTATGTTAAATAAATATGTAATAAAAAAAATAAAAAGCATGACAACAACAATAACAAATTGCTTACATAGATTCTCAACTGAATCTTCTAATTTTTCTAAATAAAATAAATTTAAAAGTTACAAAAGTCACTTGCTGACTGACAAACTGTCACAACTGACAAAAGTCAGTTGCTAAATAACTTTAAAAAAACTAAAAAAGCATAACTGTATTTGCACACACAAAAAAAAAACAACAACAACAAAAAAATTCCTGACTTAGCTTGTCCATTACTTCCGCTAAACATTAAAAAAAAGTTATAATTAACAAATTGCTGAAATTGGTGAAATATATATCTTTGTAACATATCCTTCTCATACAATGTTAGCTTACTTGGCAAGAGCTCTTCGGCTCTGATCTCTTGAACATCTAATATATATATATATAGACAAAATTAATTTTCAAAATATTTACTTTTTCAATTAAACATATAAGATTTGTCTTAAATTATAAAACTGTTGCACAGTTTTATAATTTAACACATTCAGTAAATGACAAAAAGTTTCATTTTACGTGAAAGTTTAGTAGTTAAAAGACTTAAAAGTCTATTTTAGCTTAAACACGTTTTATAAAATTATAGCTTAAACACCTTAAAGCTTCTATGTGTTTTTAAGGTTTACTGCTTTACAAAAACATCAATCAAAATAGCGGAATAAACAAAAACTGAGTTTTGGGTCCACCCTTTTAAAGTTCTAAAAATTAATTTATATATTTTTTAACTTTAGTTAAATTTTAGGGTGGTGTGCTTGATTCACGGGGTTAGGGGAGGGCAGCATATCTTGGTTGATTTCAATTAAAAGCGGCTAAAATAAATCATCGTTTTATTCACACGTGAATCAAGTACAGCGTTTTTATGTTTTTAGAAATTTTTAAAAACGTTTCAAAAAATTCTCCCCGTTTGGTTTGTTATAGTATATTATATCTTTATTTTTATGTAATGCGTGTAACATCTATATGCATTTAAACTTGTTTTTCTTTGTTTTCTAGAAAACTGGAAAAGATTTAAAAAAAAAATTGTGTAAGCAAAAGGTTTTGAACCCAAGCGAAGCACTTCAATCGCTTTGGAATGCTATATCATCTTTTTACACTATTTAATAAACAGAAAACTTATTAAACTTTAAAAAACAACATTTAATGCTTTAAAATAAAGAGATATTGTCGCAATGAAATTTTTAAGTAAAAATAAATCGGTAGAATTTGATGTCATCTACTTCATAATAATACTGATTGATAATTAAAGAACTTAAAGTTTACATATTTAGATATTTGAATAGACTTTCGTTCACATTGTTAAAAAACAAATCATAACGGATTGTGGTTCCGAAAAAAAAGGTTAATACACTACCATCTGTAATTATTGGAAAGGTCATATTTTTTAATATCAAAGATATCAAAGTTTGGCGAAAAAGTGAAAACAATGTCTACCTGAATTATATGTTATCTTCCTATTTATTAGGTTTACAAATAAAACTTCCCTGATTAGTTTATAATTTATTCAAAAACCTGATTAGCTTTTAATTTATTTGCCTATTAATCACCCTTAACAACAATAACCACCATAAATATATTCTTAGCATTCTACTTAACGACTTATCTAATTAGTCTATTTTGTCATTAAGTTTTTTCAAAAAAAAAAAATACACATGTATTAACTGTATATCAATTTATTTATCTATTTAATTTAATATATATATAATATATAATTTAATATATATAATTTAATCTAATTAATATAATTGAAATACTACTAATCAATTTACTGATATTTTTTCTATAGCATTGTTAAAAATGGTTATATTCTGAAAGGTAAAGAAATTTATTGAAAAGAAAGTTGCACAAAAGAAAAAAAAAAACTAAACAAAAGTTACTTGTTTCAAAAAACGTTTTACGAAGAGTTTTTCCAAACAATTTTATTTTTAATTGCGTTTTTTTTTGAATTACGTCATAAGCATATTAAGGCGTTTTGAAAAACAGTTGCTGTATATATTTATAGTAAAAAAGTTAATGTAGCAAAATAAACTTTTAATTGCCAAAAGAAAGTTTTAAAGTTTTATCTAGCTACAGGCTTTTTTTTTTTTTTTTTGCCTCCACAGCAGCATCTTCTGAAGTAGCAGAGCTGTCTTGTTAAGTTTTTTCTTTATTAAGTTTCAGACAACTTTTTTTTCAGACCACCCGCAGCTTATTAGGACTAATTACATGAGCACATTAATAACATAAGTGTCTCAATTATCATAGATACGCAACATATTTTTTCTCCTAGTGATGTTTTTTTTTTTTTTTAAATGTTTGATGAAGTTTTAGCTTTTTTAAAATCTTTTCTTTTGTGAGTGCATAACATCGTTACATATGTTTGTATATAATCTTTATAAAACTTCGAAAGTATTTTGTATTTTAAAATAATTAAAAAAATTAAAAAAAATAGCCGCCATTGGTAGGAGTCGAACCTCTAGCTCCTTGTTCAGAAGTTCGCCGCCTTATCCACTCGAGCTACACCGGCATATCATTATGTGTAGATTTTATAATAATGTAGTAATTTTTTTAAGGAAAAAATTGTTAGATCAAAATTAAGGAGAGGTTGACACAATGTAATTTTCAAGTAAAAATCAAACTGTAAAACATAATAAATGTTTCAGTATGTTTTAACATTTGCTTTAATCTTACTTAGTTTAAAGTTTACGTACGTTAGATATTCGTTCACGTATTCTTATAGTGCTGCGACTCTTTCTTGCCAATACCTCGGTTGCAATGGCTGCCAAGGGTTTCGTGTCAAATACGCTCCAAGGGACACTACTATTAAGTTTGGCAATATTATATAGAAGATTATGAAAAAATTTTTTTTGTTTTATACTTATACTGTATGACATTTCAAATGTTTGATATATTTATAAAGAAGAATTTAAAGAAATTTAAGAATTTAAAATTTGATCTCATGATGATATCACAACCATACTTGAACTTATTTATCTATGGTTATGACATCTATATGATATCATATTGAGATAATTATTTGATATCGCAGCATGAGGAATTTTTGATATCATATTAATATCATATTGATCTCATGCGTTTATGGGTATGCTGTTAGTGTTCATCTTTTTATGAGCCTACGTGGTTTATAGAACATGTATTTCGAGTTCTAATAATCAATCTAATCTAATCTAATCTAATCTTGGTATAAATAAAAATTATGATAACAAAACTGCGAAACTAATAAGTTCAATTTATAGATTTAAAAATCACTTTTAAGTAGCTACTTAAAAGTTGTTTTTAAATCTATAAATTGAACTTTTAACAAACTATAGTTTGCACACAACTTACACATGGATCTACTTCATAAAATTCTTTGCATACCCAATGTCTGCAACTCAAAATTGAAGCCAATGTTTTATTTGCTTCCCCTCAAACAGAAGCAGAAACGAAAGTCTCTATCAGTATTATTTTTATGTTCAGTATCACTTGAACATAAAAATAATACTGATTGAATAATATTTATTGTACTTGGGAAATTCGAATCAGTAGGAAAAAAAGAACTTTTTTGTTTGTTTGTTTTGTTTTGACGGCTTCATCTTTTTTACTTTTATTTTCATTTTTTTTTAACTTTATGTAACTATTTCAGACCGTATTATGTTAAAAACAGTATGAAAGTTGTAACGCTGCAAAAAGATATCATCAAACTCAACTAGTTATTTTAACAAGGCCTCAGAGCACATCTGTTTCATATATACGTTATTAACCTACATTTACACAATATCAACATCTACATTTCATTGACATGTGCATCAAGTAGTTGCAGGCATTGTTTATTATGAAGTAGAATGAATATTATTTTATTATCCATCTTTAGTTTTAGTTCGATTGCTTCAATCTTCACACTAATTTTGTTAGAATTCAAATATAACAATGCTTTTTCCCATCCACTTGGGTACACAGCTCAGAAATTTTAGGCTTAAGTTTACTATCAGAGTACCCCAAAAATGTTAATAATTAGTAGTAGGGCATTTGAACACTTCATTTTCATATTTAGAAAAATCTGGGAGGTATCACATTTTTAAAAAATCGACATCAAAAGTCTGCTGAAAAGTCATTTTTTTTGTGTTTAAAAAAACTAAATGCACTGATATTTATACCTATATTATAACATAAATACTCATAAATTGTTATAGATATCTAATTTATCAAATCTATGGCTCCTCTTCTCTTAAAAGAGAAGCGGAGCCATAGATTTATAATAATAAGACATATGAAGTAAATACAATATTAGGAAAATTTTTTTTTACCCAACAATATATTTATAAACTGAATTATTAAATAAAATCATAGGCTCATGGAGGAAAGTATGCTTGTGCATGGTGTGAAACTTCTTCTTATATTCTGGAGAGTTGAGAACATTTTAATCTTTAAATGATTACTATGAACTGTATTCGTCTGCAGGATCTCCAGTGAAAAAAATGAAGGAATATAAGGTATAAATAAGTATATTGTAAATATTTTTAAAATATATCAATCTCACAAGTTTATTTTTTTTAAAAGGATAGAAAACTATTGTTTCTATATATTTATAATCTCATTAATCCTTGTCTGCTCAAGATAGAAGACAAATCCTTAAGTATAATAAGTGAAGTTCCATTACGAGAACTTCACCTTCTGATGGGATTTGTTAACCATTTGGCGGAATTTATAACGCAGCTTTGGTCTGGATTTATAGATTGGGTCAAGAGCATTGGATGCCTTTGAAAAGGTTACCATGAAGGAACATTTGAAGGAAACACGTGTAGAGAGATACTTAAAAGTTGCGACAAACTTGAGTTGATAATGCCTGTTAAACTGTATCCTCTCTTTCAAAGAATGAGAAAATTTAATAAGATTGTCTTTGGCTATAAACTTGACCTAAACTATTCAACTTTAATTGAAAGTTTTACACAAAGTTATAAAGGTGCGCAAGATTATTGCAGAGAGGTAATTGCTGTATTCTTTAACCTTTATATTTGAAACCAAGTTATTGATAAACATATTTTTTGTAAATTTTTTTAGTTTTTCAATAAACAGCTCACAGTTACCTGGAAAATACATGCTGTAACCGCACATCTGAAAAAACTTGTTGATTTAAGTGGCCTGTCCCTTGGGCAGTTTAGCAATCTGACATCTGAACCTTCCCATTCCAAGATGAAAAGTGTAAAAACAGGTTTAGAGTTTTGAAGTACAGCAACAAACATAAGGAAAGAAGCAAAAAGAATTGCTGAAGTTTTCAGTTTAAGTAGTTTATAAGTTATTGAACATACATCAGTTGGACATCAAAACATAAACATTATTGAAATCGTAAGTTAAAAACATTTGTACATTCATTCAAAAAGACAATCAAAATATTTTAGTAAAAACGATTTTAAAATGTTTTATTTAGTATTTATTATATTATTATTGTTTACATATTAGGTTGTTAGGCAACTATGCATACAATACTACTGTTCTACTAAATTACTTATATACTATTAATATGTTCTACTTGACTAATCATACTATGTTCACACATACTTGACAAATCATACTATGTTGACACATACTATGCTCCTAAATTAATTTCAAGCGTATCTAAACTTTTTTCGCCAACTTAAAGCAGTCTAATGATGTTGATGTATAAATACAAAATTAAAAAAGTATAAAAAAAATTGGAATATAAAGTTATTTTATGTTAACTTTACTATTC